ATGTTTTTACCTTGTGAAGATTTTCTCTGATTTGCTTGTTTGGTTAATGCAGCTTTAGCATGGGGTTATGTTGTGCTTTTATGTGGGGTAACAGTTGTGTCCTGCTTTTTGGAAATGTCATAGCATGACCTTCATTCTCCATGGACATTCAAATTCAAAGGCCCTTGTTTTTTTTTAAAATACATTTTAGATTAGTTTACTGCAGTTATTTAAGTCCTGTACACTTACTTGCACTGACACATACAAAGTAAAAAATAAATAAATAAATGTCTCCAAGGTATGGTGCTCAGTCATGTAAATGACCTCATCTTGTTTGGCTTGACTAATTTATAGTGCATGTTATCTGCTGCACTACTCCAGGGCAGGTGTATGAGATGGCCTAGAAAAATCTATATTTTTAAAAAAAAAATGTCTTCCCATGTAAAAGTTTGAAACTAGTTACTGTCTATTAGAGGCTGAAAGGTACAGGCATGTGCCAAAAGAACTAATTTGATTGTAGGCAAACCAATTATAAACTAATTACACAGCTTACCTTGTCTAGATTAGAGAGCAGTGGATTTGCAGTGGGTGAACTAAACATGCTCAGTGTTTAATAACACCGCCTCTTGCCCATTGACAACTGGAATTGGCTGCAGGTCCCATGCGACCTTTGTTAGGATAAGTGGTATAAATAATGGATGGATGGATGTACAAAATAATTTTTTTAACTATTATATTTGTGCTTGTATTTGGATATAGCTCCACCCCTATTCCACATTGCATTTAGACATTTGATTCATTGTTAATGCAAAAATATTGGTTTTAGCAGCTTTAATCTTTGTAATTTTGGGGGAAGGGACAGGACAAAAAAGAAAAAACCTTATAGGGATATATTGCCTTGCATGTTGTTGCATAGGCATTCTGGTTATGGAGGAAACCACTTCAGAATGGAAGGTTGGTTCAGATCTAATTTAAAAAAAGTGATGGAATAAAAATAAAATGCAAATAATGGCACACAAACACAACAGCTGGCATCTACATTCAGCTTCTGTAATTTGACAGTTTTTATTTTATTTTAAATTCCCTTCTTTCTTAGGTATTGTGTAGGTCTGAGCAGTCAGCAGTGGACAGCCTGCAGCACTGTGTCCCAGAGCTGGCTCCAGTTGTGTTATGCTGGATTACAATCAGAAATGACAGCCTGGATGAGTATGAGGCAGATGGTTCTTAACGTGCCATCAGTTAAGGTCGTGCATGGAAAACCCGTCATCCCTTTGTTTGCCCGCTGCTCAATGCTTGCAGAGATCACATCATTAAAATCCCAATCTTCACAGACGTCATTAGTCAACTATACTGTCAAACCAGTTGTGGGTCTTTTTTCTTTTGATGGCGTGTTTTGTGGTGCACTGGTTAACAGACCCTATCCTTGCATCAAGGTCAAATGGTTAGCACTCGTGCTTATTCTTATACACCATTGGTAAAACTAATAATCTATTCTGTGCATCTATCTATATACCTATGTGTTTGCTTTAATTTTTAAGATCTTCTCAGATCCCTGGAATACTGTTTCAAAGGGAGACACATAATGACAAATACTGAGGCCATAATGTTTGGTCTGTGAAAAAGTAAAAATTACAGTTTGTCTTTTAAAGCAGACAGACAAAACAGAGAAAAAAAAACCTGTTTATCCCATTGAACTGAGCCACTGGTTCGCATGCAGCTGCCTAAATGCTATCAAAAATACCCCCAGAGTGCAGCTGCAGCCTTAAGCTTAGATTGTTCCTCATCAGGATAAGAATAAATGTGCTACATCTGTTCACTCTAAACATGCTGAGAAACACATGCCAATTCAACACTATCGTTTAAAGGGAACCGTTTTCACTGCTTCTTAGCACAGTGAAAACATGTTATTGCTGACATTTACTTTTTTTAAAACTTTTCATCTAGAGCAACAAAAAAAAATCTCAGGTGGACAGTATGTACATCTTGGGGACATGCTTTGGCATTATGGTGGTGAATTTATTGCAGACAATGGGAATCTACAAAATACATTCAGTTCAAATAAAACAGACACTTTTGGTCCTTCTTCTCTAGATGGTTGTCAGATGGTAACAATGTACCCTCTCCTCTGGTTTTCCTCTCTAAATCTCATAAAAGGTGCATGGAAATGGGCGATATAGTGTCTGGCAGTATCATAAAAATGTGCATTGTGTGGTAAATTACTAACCACTGAAATTTTTTTTATAGAGTTTAACTACTACTTCATATAGACATGTTTGAGGACTGTACTATATAAGTACTCACTTTGTTACAAACTCCTCAGGTTTCAAAACAACAATATAGTAAGCTGTAATTTAAAATACAACCTATGTGCAAACTGAAATAAGAACATATATTTACATAATTCTTCTTAATCCAATGTTATTATCGATAAGTGTTTACATGACTCTTTCAGATTTTAAAATAGTACATTAGGGGGAATACCAAGTTACGGTAGGACACACACAGTCACAGATTCCACTAGTTGAGTAGGCGACAGTGTGGTGGGTAGAGCAGTTGTCTCCTCCACCAGAAGATTGACGGATCAAATCTCGGTGCCTGCAGTCCACGTGTCCTTGGGCAAGGCACTGAACCCCCCCCGTTGCCCCCGATGGTTTGAGCCATCGGTTGAGGTTGGTGCCGCAGATGGCTGCCTTGGTTCTGTACCGGAAACAAATTCCTTGTGTGTAACATACAGTATTTGGCCAGTAAAGGTGACTATTATCCTTATCCTAGTTGAACTATTGAATATGTCCATGATTAATTAACATAGTGGCAAGAGTGTTTTTCTGCACAAGTGACCTGCAAACTGAGGCAATAGGCTACTTTAAAAATACCATCAACATTAGTCATGATCATGGATGAAGTGTCACCACTTCCCTCCACTATGCAAAAATGAAGCCACTATATGAATACAGCCACTCCCATCCTGGCATTTTGCAACTATATTCTGTGCAGCAGTGACCCAGAAGTATCATACTGCCAATCAAAACTGTCCAGTCATTCAAAATCAACCCCTTTTTTAATATCATCTAATAACTTATTACAAAAAAATTTTAGCAGAAAGATGACCACTTATACACACATCAGCATAATAATATTTACCAAAAATGACAGAAATGACCTCTGGAAAAAATTATTTGCACTTTGACTTCTTAATTTAGCTCGTATCTGCTAACATAAAGCGAGCAGGTTTCATGACTTGTACTGCGACCAGCCACCAGGACACAATTGATTCACTGGCTTCATTTCTCAAAGCTGTAATGTTGTCCATATGTCTACGCAATCAGTGGTCATAATTTCTTACCAACTTTTGCTAGCTATTTGAAAGCAAATCAAATTAATTTTACATATCTTTAAATCAATGCTCAGACAGTTCATATGCAGTAATCTTGTGTGCCATAAGATGTGCCATAAGCTAAATTCATGAACACCTAGGGCAACTATTTTTCTGCATTGCTTCATTTGCAGTCATTATGCAGTTGTCTTCGGGGACCTCTACTTTTTTGCACATTGGTTTGTTCTGTATTTTCCTGCTGTGAACGAATGTGCTTACTCTAAGGTGGGATGGTAGGCACAGTTGAGGCCATGTGTATGCTGATTGGGTATAATAGTGCAATTTTAGTGCTCATTTTGACCCAGAATAGCGATAACGATAACACCTGCTCAGACCATTTTTTAATCACTGTTGCAGGTGTAGTTGTAATTTTCCTGACAAGCACATAGGCTGGGATGCAGTTACCATGTGTATTTTAATGGCCACACCAACTTAAAATAAACCCTTAAATACACAACTGATCTCTCAGAATTCACTCTGAATAATTTACTGTGGAATTATCTGTATCATGAAATACGAGTGATAACTTACATTATAAAGATTGCTTTCAAATAAGATAAATAAACTAGTCCTCAGTATATGAAAGATGCAAATATGGTCAAACAGTTCATATGCATCCAGAGGCACCATCTGTGCTTACACGATGCATCCAGAGGTGATCTGCAGCCAGTGTTTGGGAATTGTAGATCTGACACCAGATACATGCAATTATACAACAGTAGGTACACACAGTAACATAACATGTATCTTGTTATGAGTCAAGACACATATCAAATGCCATATAGACACCACGATTAGTCCAACCTCATTGTGCACTGCTGTCACTCTTAAGATCCAATTTATTCAAATGAACAAGTTTCACACAGACATACTGTATCTTTGGTACTGCAAGGATATATGTTGTGTCTGTTTTTGCATTTTATGGCTGTTTGAGCAGTTTTGTAAGCAGCTGTGGGTGGAGATAAAGTGAGCAATGCATCTATTGGCTGTTCACTTTCGTGGACTGCAGTCAGTTTCACCATAAACATAGTGACAACAATATAATTTTATTGTATTGTTTTAAAAACAATGTATTTAAGGTTGTATGCAAATAACCCTGAGACCCCCATGCATTTCACACACTGGATGCACCTGTGAGTATGTTATGCTACTGTATTGAATTGCCGCTGGTCACAGTGCCAGAGACGTTGTTTTGTCCACACACAAAAGTGTGTTGCAAAAAAATTACTATGCCATAACAAACACTAACAAACCCTAGCAAATATTTTGAATGCTGTTCAAGCTGAACATTTCAAATAATCCACCAAACATTTCAACTAATCATAGCAAGTATGAACACTATCAAACCTTTTAAATGTGTCCTAGCCACCAGACAATTCAGATAACTTGCCATTGAAACTAACCCAGCCATACGTCTTCCTTTTATTGTGCATCAGAATCCACCCTGTGTTGCTAATCACTACAAACCAGTCAAACTTCTAATATATCCTCATGTTAGCTTGTTCATGCTAACACCAGGAAGTAGGCCTCAAGCCTTCCACATGTATCAAACATTTTGTTTAGTCCACCCTCCTATGCTAGCTGACTTCAACTTAGCAGGCATAATCCACACATAAATTGCAGTCTACAATTTGTTGAATCCACTTACCTATGTGTAGCCTATTCACACACCTTTTTTCTGCTCTAGAGCCACCCATGGGACCTTGTTGCATTGTCAGCTAGGTTTTTGACTCCACCCATTTATACCTAAACCCACCTAACAGAGAGACAACTGGCTTGGCTACAAATCCTGTACAATCAGCCTCAACGGGGCAGACTAACTTTCCAGTCACGCTCCTCTGCCTTCATGGCTAATTCTGTATATTTCAGTTTTTTCCTCTCATAAGCTGTTTTTACAGTTTCCCCCCAGGGAACTGTAAGCTTCACAAAATACACTATACAGTGCATTTCTGACCACAACACACAGTCTGGTCTTAGGTTAGTGCTGACTATCTCCTCAGGAGCTATGGTCATAGTTCCATAGCTGATTTCCTAAACCTACTTTCATTTGCCAATCTCTCCCTACCTTTAGCTGGCCTGCATCCTGCCTGTTCAAATGGCTTGCTTCCAGCCTTTTCACCCTTATGAACAATAAAATCCTCTCTTGTTTCTTCTTCTCCTCTACTGAGTTTACCTCTAATCACCTACTTTCAATAGGTGCTGCTGAACATTGATCATGTCTCCAGGTGTATTGTCTTTGAGCCAGGCTTGTTTTACACCCTGAGAAGATGTGCCGTAGTGAAGCTACACCTGAACACTCAGGTCCTCAGCTATCCATCTATTCAGATTTTAGGGAGAAGGAAGCACATCATAAGCTATATCTAAAATGAATCTAATCCTTCCTGTCTTCATGTCCCAAGTATTTTATTATTATAAAAAAGAAATCACAAGTTTTGCCAGTATGATATTAAATATCCCAATAAAATGTTCAACAGTATGTTTTAAAAACCTCCTCTGTCTCCTAGAAATGATATTTTATAAGCCTACAACTAATTTGCAATAGCAAAAATCTTTTGAAGAAAGTATAATGGTGAGTGAATAACATTTCATAGTAATGTAATGATCATATATTGCTAATTTATGTATTTAGATTGCAAATATATTTATGCTGGGTGTTGTCTACCAATATATCCAATCTTGCAGTGCACTGTCTGTGTTGCTGACTGCAGTTGTTGAGGTACGTATAGCACTAGGGAAAGACCATGGTCAGATTTAATACAGAAAAGTTCAAAGTGACTTCAGATGTCTTTATTTATATTTAACCAAAACCACCATCTTTCCCTCATCTCAACCAAAGTGTTTATGCTGTATGAACCTAACCACGAATGGGACTGTGAAATGCAAACCACAGGCTCTGGTGTGACAGTCATGTGCTTTGTACACCCTCCTAACCACGAGTAAAGGTTGTGCTTCATTCATTAAAAAGCCTCTGAACCTAATCCAGAAAATATACTTGCAAAAACATCACAGGTTAAATATAACATCAAATTATAATGCAATTAATGTTTCTTATGATTAATTAAAATCAAAATGTTTATTTTATTTCAGATTGTATGATTCTAGTCTGACTTTGTAAAATAATATATCGTACTGTACACACTTTTACTACTGTAAGTGTGGTACGACTCAGCTGGAATACAAAAGATTGGAACAAATTGTCTTTTCAGGCCACTGGTGTCAAACAATGACAGACCATGTGCCCTCTTTCCAAATCTTGTATAAATGGCTTTGGGCTGGAAAAGATGTTGTCTGGCAGCATCTTAAACAAGCCACATGGCAGTATCATGAATGGAACAGAGCAGACATTTCTCTAATTGGCATGCTGTTGTATAAGAAATAATTGGCTCATTTTAGTCAGTTGAGTGATGACTGGAAAATGTACCCTTAAAGGGTATCCATTCTGTACTTTGGGGACTAATCTGGGAAGCATTCATATTTATTGTCTGTGCTCAGATAGACATGGATTTCCTTGTCTCACGTGCCAAGGGTATGAAAGGAAGGAGTGATTAATGATGCAAGTTTCTCTTTTAAGTGTCATTATGGGATGTCATTCACCACTGCTATAACCTCAAGCACCACAAAGCTGTATTCAGTCCAGGCTGCCTCTGTAGACAAAAGTCAACCACTTTCTTCTTAGTAGTGAAAGAAACAATCTGGAAACAACATGACTGTGTTTATTAAGTAAATCAGAGCAAAGAAGCTGAATTCTAGCAGTATAAAATGGTACAAAAACAGTACATGGAAATAAAATTCTGCTTGAATAGTTACTTATTCAATCAGTTAATCGGTTTTTAATTTTGGTATTTAGAGTTTGTATTAGTCTGTTTTGTATTTAAAAGATGAGGCAACCCTTGCTCTGCAGAATCCCATTTTGTGGTAATAAATTGTACAAACCAGTCTGTCTCATTCAGATTCCTACAGCACACAGCTTCCTTGTATCAATTTCCCCTACAGCACTTTCTCACACAATAAAGAAATGAAAAAATGATCCAAGTTCTCTCATGCAATAGCTCTGCTACAGTAAATAAGTACAATTACTAAATGTTACACTTGTATCTCTACACAAGCACATCTGCAACAAATTATTGTACATTCATATGCAACTATTTTGCATCAGCAATTATGTTTTGAAAATGTCTTGGGGTAACTACTAATGAAAATAAGTGAATATGAATTTACAGTAGTTTCTCAGAGACTGGACTGCTCTGTGGATGAAATTAGTTCTTTTCTGCTGAACATCTTGCTGAACAGCAGCCAAAAAACATCCATGAGTGTGTCTGTTGGCTAAAACACTAACACACACAACTCCAATAAATCTCTGTGCATGTATATTATTATTACTGTATAGGACAGAATTACCAGAAACCACGGAGTTCACTGGGTTTCTGTTTATCTGCTTTAACAGGCTGAAAGTACAGTTCTGCACCCCACAATTATTGTTCTGATTGAAACAAAGATAACGAACAGATAAATAAACCTGTATGGTAGTGCTGTTACCACAGAGGCTTATCAATCTGCTTTTTATCTTTTGCAGGATTTGAACATGAATCACCTTGTTTTTGTGTCCCTTGAGCAAGGGGTTGCTTAGTTATATGATTTATGCTATATGAACCATTTTAAATGTACGTTACATCATGAAGCAAAACTTAGAAGCATAACAACATAAAAGCCATGGAAAATAGTAGGAGGAGATAAGCTAAGGGAGCTGATATGAAGATGATAATGACTTTTTTTTTTACATATTTGTTATGACCCTTGCATAGTTTGGCAAGGTTGACAAATAATTTGTTGGACTGCTGGTCAAAGCAAGATATCTCAGGACTGCTGGCCAAAATATTCATCAAATCAGCATGGATGTTCATGTTCTCCAGAGGATAATTATGACTCTTCTGGCTGTGCAACAGTGCTTTGATAATGACTAAATTCATTCATTTTCCCAGAGGATGAAACCTTGTTTTAGCATTTTTATTCATTATAGGGCTACAGTAAATTATCATAGTCGTTCTAATTATGCTTGGAGAGTATGTTTTTACTTTATCCTACTGGATATGTAAATGGTAAATAAACCCCACACACATACAGTATAATGGAGTTATTCACTGATGGAGTTGTGGCAGCATTTCTACTTGTTAAAGAGCATCATCTCTGTCCCTATAACTCCAAACAAACATGGTCTGTGTTGCCAGGCAACAGTCAAATGTATCAGTGGATTTAAGCATACCCAGACAGGCTATTATAAATGGAGGAACTTGTTTGGCATGACATCAGCTCAGTCATGATGGCTCCCAGTGCTATATCCTTAAGTTCTTTCCTTAAGCAGAGTAGGCAGAGCATAATGTATTGCAAATAGGGTGTTATGTAGTGTGCTCATCTTTCTGTTTGTGTTTCAGGCAACACAATGTGCTTCTAGTGTGCAACTGCAGTAAAAATGTTCATTCACTCAAGTTTTGCAATCCAGCACACTTAAATAGATGTCAAACATAACATAACCACAAATGCAATTGTGTATCAAAATTATTTAAATGTGTTAAGAATAGGTCAAGGAGGAACTGAGATCTATGTGTAGGACTCATCAGAGCACATTTGTCCTCTGAAGTTATATGCTATGCTTTCATTAAGTGCTTCTGTTCCTTTCTTCACTTGTCCCAGTAAATCTAATTTGACCAACTGTGATTGCTACAGAGACTCATGAAAATGTCAGAGACAGGATCACAACCCACTGAAAATGATTTGTACTGGCATTTCCCACTCCAGACATAATTTAACATCTAAATAACTCACTGATACACCATGTGCAAAAAGTACAAGTTTGTGCAGTTTGCAATGCACTGGAGCCTTCAGTTAGATTAAAAAGTAAATATAAAATTGAACAAGAGGCTAGAAATGCAGTGTTGTGACATTAAGTACCCCATCCAGTTAACAGTATTGCTGAAAGCCAGTAAGGACAGAGAGGCTGCATAAATGAATCAGTTATTATCTGGGTCAAAATGGTGCTTCTTATATAAACAGAAATAACTTACTTTTCTGTCATTAATGATAGGAATCTAACATTACATTTTGTAATATTCCATTAAAATTTTATCTGGAGAAATAACACACACATATTTGATAAATTACTGAAATAATAATAATGCTATATTTTGGGCTTCTGTTGTTAGATTAGATCAAGTTATAATTTGCCTGATTTTTACATAATTACATAGAAACTGTAGCTGAAAATAACCCAAGCCAGGAGAAACATCTGTGTAATTTGTCCACATACCTCCACACTGGGGAAGAGTTGGATGAAGCATGAGTTATAATCAAGTGTATATTGTTACCACAATGTATGGTTACTATATACTGGTAATTATCATATGCATGAATACACAGGGAGATTGAAAATCATAACTACATATTAACTGGAACAGGTGTAATATTCTATTGCAAATATGTATATTACCATATCAGAGAATGTAAAGCGATATATATATATATA